AGTAGTTAAGTTTTTGAGGCGTTAAAGTTGACCAGCCAATTCTTGCCCCAATTAAGAACCGATTGGAGGTTCATTTCAAGACGCACGGCCAGGTTAGTTTTGTCACCGACACTAGATTTGTTTTTGAGGCAGGAGTAAATTGTAGTGTCGTCCGCGGAGACGCCAACTTGGGAATCTATGGCGTCAGGAAGGTCGTTGATGAAAATAAGGAAAAGAGTGGGGCCAAGGATGGAGCCTTGGGGAACACCTGCGTTCGTGGGATAGAAACTGGAGGAGAATCCGTTGAGAACGACCTTCAATTCACGGTTTGACAAGAATGATTGTATTAGGTCAAACAATCGATCTGTAATACCATATCCCTGGAGATTGCGAAGAAGGCCGGCATGCCAAACCCTATCAAACGCTTTGGAGATGTCTAGGGCCAAGGCACGGGCCTCACCCTTATTTTGAAGGGCTTGGTAGACGGTTTCAGTGATGGCCGCAAGCACATCAGTTGTAGATCGGGCGTAGCGGAAACCATATTGCTTGTCTGAGAGCAGATCATGGGATGTAAGGTGGTTAACCACTTCGGCATTGATTAGGGCTTCGAAGACATTGCCGAAGAGGGGTAGGAGACTAATATGATGGTAATTAGAGGGGTCAGAGGGGTCTCCAGAGTTCTTAAAGACAGGAACAATGGATGAGGACTTCCAGCAGTCAGGAAAACAGGATTCATTGAGGCAGTAATTATATAGTTTAGACAATGGCTGGTATGTCATCTCCACCACTAGCCTTGTGGGGCGTCTAAATTGGAGATAATATTACATGAATCATTCATACAAAAAACAGATTAGTGAAGTTAATGATATAAATGGTGAGAATACATCTTCGCAAACAAATTTATTAAAATTATATTAACCCACGAACCTCTAGATGAATATATATATATATATATATATATATATATATATATATATATATATATATATTGTTATGGGGTCCACCCCTTTTTCATATAAGTGGACTCTACTAGTGTACCTGGACTGGTGCGGTTAAATACCCAGAGTTAGACAGTCAGTGGGAGTAGTCGAATAGAGAGAGGATATACGGAGAGAGAGAGAGAGAGAGAGAGAATATACGAACGGAGACAGTGTGAGGTAACCTCGTGTAGAAGTCAGTTACAAGCACGTAGACTCTAAGGAAGTCCTACTTCGAGACTGTATATATCTATCTGTATTTGCTACTAGCCGCGTTCCTGGACTTACTAAGAGTATTACTCTTTATATGATTGTGTAAATACATTTTATTTCTTATATTTAATTATTGCGTTTGTCATACCTTGGAGACCGAATTCAACTCGGAATCTACAACAACTTGGCGATGAAGAATCGAACACACGCGGAAAACAAAAAATCAACAAAAGAAAGATATTCCCTCGTCGTCCAACAAGCAAATTGGCTTCGAGCGATTCGAACTCCCACGAAAAGAAGAAATAGAAAAATCCTTCCCTCGTCGTCCAACAACAAATTAGCCACAAACAGTTACGAGGAGTAAAAATGCATAAAATTGAGTTATCATGGAAGATTTTTAAAATATTTTGGTAGAACTGATAAAACACCAAAATAAGCAACAATTACAAATGCAAAAATACCAAAATGATCAACAGTTACAGCTACAAGAAAAAGGGCAAAAGCAAATATTACAAATGCAAAAGTAAAATCAAGATAGACAAACAGAGCTCCAGGAAATAATATTGAAAGTAGCGGGCAACAAGCAATAAGATATTGAAAAAAAAGCAACATTTTCGCAAGACGGTGTGGAATACCATAGAGATTTTCAAATATTCTCTAGATGAAGACAAAAATATTGGAGATTACTTCAGAAGACGTGAAGACATCTTTAACATAGACTGTCAAAATTGGACAGAAGCAAAAAAGCTACGTCTATTGCTTAGAAAATTAGGAACTGAAGAATATACAAAGTTCGTGGATTATATCTTGCAAAAAAGACGAACGAATTAATATTTGACGAAGCAGTGACATGTCTTAAAGAACTCTTCAGCCCCAAAACTTCACTCTTCCATCGGAGGTGGAAATGCCTTAACCTGGTAAAGGGCGATAATGAGGATTATTCCACGTTTGCCGCAATCGTAAATAAACATTGTGACGACTTCAAACTAGCGGAATTAACCCCGGACAATTTCAAATGTCTCATCTTTGTTCAAGGGCTAGTTTCTACAAAAGACAGCGAAATGCGTAGAAGAATGCTTGCAAAATTACAAAATGAACCGGGTCTAACATTACAGCAATTATCGGAAGATTGCCAGAGATGTTTAAGTATAAAGAAAGACGCAAAGGACATTGAAGAATCAGCTGTTTCTCATATACGTAAGTTAAACAAAAGTCTACGTTCTTCACCCTTCCCGGAAAGAAAACTAAACTTTTACGACAATGAAAAAAGATTCTCACCCTCCCCGGAAAGAAAAAGAAAATTTTATAATAAGAGGAAAAGTGCAACATACAGGACAAATTATGACGAATATCGAAACAAAATATAAGCCCCCTCCATCAGCATGTTATCGATGTGGATGATTACATTGGAACAAGGATTGCCGCTTCAGATATAAAAACTGTCTTGAATGTGGAAAAAAGCACCACAAGGCATCCCACGAAGACTGGTGTTCCCCAAAGCTCTATGTTGGGTCCTACATTGTTCGCGATCTTCGTCAATGACCTTCCCGATGTCATCAGTTCTCAAATAAGAATCTACGCGAAAGACACTACTATTTATAGTAAATCTGGTATCGCTGACAAAACTAACCTTGCTGCTGATCTCGAAAAGGAACTCCAATCTGTGGTGGACTGGGACAGGAAATGACTTAAAACGAAACTGCTCTCCTTTACCCACCACAGAGGACCCTCCTTGCCTCCCATCAGAATGGCTGATTCCCAACTCCTCATGAGCGCCTCGTTACGCCTACTTGGTCCCACGCTGTCCGCTGACATAAGGTGGAATAAATACATTGAATCAGTAGCTTCCTCTACTGCAAGGAAAGTTGGCTCTCTGTGTCGTGTCAGAAAGTTGTTTTTTTTTGTTGTCTGAGTCCATCTTTCAAATCTATAAATCAACTATCCGTCCTTGCATGGAATATTGCTGTCATATATAGTCTGGTGCCCCCGCTGTACGTCCCGAGATCCTCGACCAAAATCCAGAGACGAATATGCAATGTAATAGGTCCTGATCTGTCATTTAGTCTACAGTTTCAATCTCACAGACGTGCCGTGGCTTCCCTCTCTCTCTTCTACAACTACTTTCACGGCAATTGTTTCGACGAGATACTTTCGCTGGTTCTCAGACTACATCAATTTAAGCTAGCTACTAGGCTGGCATCTCGGTTCCAACCTTTTATTGTCGGAACGGTTAAATGTAAGCGTCTCTTCTACATAAACACCTTCTTCTCCCGCACTTCCCATCTGTGGAACTCCCTTCCTCTTACTTGCTTCCCCGATGATTATAATCTTCAAATATTCAAGTGTAATGTCAATCGACAATTTCTGATACCTTGGTATTTCCCCCCGTCCTTCTCTGTATCCATTGCTCAAACACGCCTCTTTACTCTTTTTCTCAATCCTCTATAACCCCTTGCGTGCAAGGGGTACGTCCGCCTTGCTTGGGGTGAATTGCTTTAAAAAAATGTATATATACATATATTTATGTATATACATATATGTATATATGTCTCTATCTTTCTCTCCTCTCTCTCTCTCTCTCTCTCTATATATATATATATATATATATATATATATATATATATATATATATATTAAAGGCATAAAAAGCAAGAAATTGTATACTGTAGGCCATGATAGATTTAAAACAAAAACACACACCAGTCGACCGGTTTCGTCCTCTCATCAGAACTGTTAACGGGGAAAAAGTCTGTCATCGATGGCCGATCGACCGGCGTGTGTTTTTGTTTTAAATCTATCATGGCCTACAATATAAAATTTCTTGATTTTTATCCCTTAATACCTTCTGTACTGTTTCAAACATATATATATATATATATATATATATATATATATATATATATATATATATATATATATATATATATATATATATCTCTCTATCTCTTCCAGTCTGTCTATCTATCTATATATACATACATATATATATATATATATATATATATATATATATATATATAAGATGTATATATGTACATATATTATTTATTTATTAAACAGTATATTTCTTCATTTGCATCTACCGGCCTGAATATTCTAAATATTCAAGCAGGCCCCAATTTTAAAGATCAGAAGACGGTGAGACTAAGGTATGTCGTTCGTCAAAACACATGGTCTTGAATAGCGATGGAGCAGCGTTGTGTAAATTTTTATGATCATTTATATCTTCATTTTTATTTCTTTTATTTTCCTTCTTTTTAAAAATGTGAAAAGCGTAGGAAGATATTACTGCGCCGTAACGAATCAAACCTATCATTTTTTGCACTCTTCCTTGACCTCGGTAATTTCCGTCAAGAAGACGACAATGAAGCCATATTTGATGCAATCTTCGTTGTACTCGGTAATTTCCGGCAAGAAGACGACAACGAAAACCATATTTGATGCAATTTCAACAAATTCACTCAAGGACAAATATAGGTACTGAAATAAGAAAGGATTTTCTCTCTTGCGTCATGTCATACGGGGTAAGTTTTTTTACCAGCTAGCAACTCTTTTGAATTTGCCACACTTTACTTAAGGTAAGAGATCAGCTTTGTTTATGACAATCATCAAATAATTGAATGTTTGATTACATTAATTAGGAGTGTTCGAAACCTTTTTGTTTATTTAGATGCAATAAAATAATTTAGGTTACTTTACAAAAATCGACAAAAAAGTAAACTTTTCAGTGAAAAGAAAATATTGGGAAAAAATGAGAATTTACGCTAGACAAATTTTGATCTATGTCAAACCAAATGGTTGCTATTTTGAATGTCATCCTTTTTGAAAACAATGTCATATCTATCTATCTATCTATCTATCTATCTATCTATCTTGTTAGATTTAAGTATATGGTTAGTTACTTACAGATAAACATTTTTTCTAACAGGATTTCTCGAATCTGGTAGATGTAAATAAATAAAGATTTGCATATATATATATATATATATATATATATATATATATATACACATATATATTATTTAAATTGTGTGTATTTAGGCAGCATGTTTTCATTAATGCATGTTTAGTTAAATAATATAGACAAGGTTTGTCTATTTATTTTAAGCAAATTCCTTTCATATCGTCTGATAAGCTTTATAACATTTTCATTGAAAGACAAAGAAAATCAGTAAATATGAATATACACTGAAAGTATAAAGAAATTAGTTGTGTCAGTTGTTAATGGCTGATATTTTAGTCGTAATTTTAATGGCTGGTTTTATGATTTTCTTTCTGACAATATTTCTTTGGAGGAAATGTTTCACAATTGTTTGCAGAAAAAGAAAAGAAAAATAGAATAAGTCTGAAAAATTATTTTTGTATATCGACATTTAATCAGTAAATCAAACGATCTAAATAAAGAAAAAAGATATATGTATTGAGTGATGTAAATTTAATTAGAAATGGCTTGACAGCATCTATCTAACTATTTCTCTCTGTCTCTCTCTCTCTCTCTCTCTCTCTCTCTCTCTCTCTCTCTCTCTATATATATATATATATATATATATATATATGTATGCACCTTTTTGCATGCCACCGCTGAAAATATCTCAGATTGAATACTATATCTATCATCTATCTATCTATCTATCTATCTATCTCTTCACGTATATTATCTCTTTTTTCATATATATCTGTCTATCTATATATCTATCTCTATATCTATCTATCTATCTATCTATCTCGGTTTCATCATATCTATGTATCTATTTCATATCCTTCACATCTGTTCTTAGATGTCTATCTCACTTACTTCACATCTAATATCTATCTGGTCATATATATATATATATATATATATATATATATATATATATATATATATACAAAAAACAAACATATATCTGTTCCCATCTATCTGTCTGTCTATCTATCTCAGTTTCTTCATATATATATATATATATATATATATATATATATATATATATATAGGACGCGCATACAAGGATCCGCTGTAAGTGCTTAAAAACTTATGGAAACATAGAAAAGCAAGCCCTTAGAGAAAATGAAACATAACTTCTTATAAAAGGAAACGGAATCAACAGAAAATATTTATTTAATTATGGCAATAAAATTAGATAAATCACATTTTTGAAAATGACAACAATACAAAAATATTTATTTAATAACAGCAGCCAAATTAGGTTCAAATTCTCGCTATCACTCTGGCCGAGAAGAACAGTGCACAGAAAAATCATTTTCAAAGCAATTAGCTCTAGTATGTTTGCTCTGGGATCCTATCAGTTGATATAAAATATGAATCGAACTCAACGTCTATAAATGAGACAGTCCTTGGAATGTTTTTGGTATGTCGATCTTTTCGCGTGGCCTATTTAAATTAATTTAAGACAGCTCGTTTCATCTTATTCACGAATTAGTTGCAACGATGATATTTGATAATGTTCAACAATATTTTTTTCCGATAATGGATGAAGATATTCCACTGTAGACACCATCGCGCATATGTAGAATTCCAAATGAAAAACAAAATTATCACGAAGTACTTGCTTGTCTTGTGTTTTATCAATCCAGTTCTAAGAGACAGGAGAACCTTATAAATATTCACAAGGCGAATCCAATTAAATGAAAAAAAATAAACATATAACATTACAAGTTTTATTTGTAACTTTTCTTTTTTCTGTAAAGGTTTAAAACAACTGGTATCGGCAGTTATTACTATTTTATCTATAACAATGATGAAAGTGGTTTAACATTGCCTTTATGTAGTGATTAAGAAGACAAAACTGATGAAGACCCAACATGTGAAAGAGTAAATGAAGAATCACTGAATAGAAAAATACATAACACACATGTAAATACGTTCTAAGGTTGAAAAAGATTAAAGTAAACATCAATTTCATATAAGCCCCGCCATTTTTAAGGTAATGGACAAACACAGACACTCACTCTCATCCTCTCTCTCTCTCTCTCTCTTCTCTCTCATCCACTCTATCATTTCTTCTCTCACTTTCTACTTTTTCTCTTTCTTTTGCTCTTTCTCTCTTTCCCTAATTCTTTATCTCACTTTCTTTTTCTGGCAATCTACATTGCGTGCCAAATTATTAACGTGATAACTTTTTTTCTAATATTTCAAAAAACGTCCAATCAATTCACACAAAATTTTCACACAATGTTGACAACACTGACCTGCGCAATCACTGAAATTTTCGTAGTGATCTGCGCAATGTAAACAAACTGGTGCCATATTTGTTATCAGCACGGTGATTTGAGCGTGCCAAATTATTAGAAAAGTATAAGAATTTAGTGAAAAGATGGGCCGTAAAAGCAGTTTATGTGATGTTGAAAAGAAAACTATCACCTCAGAACTCTCAAAAGGTATATCTACCCTAGAAATTTCTAAAATGATAGGGAGGTGTCATCAAACAATGAAAAAGTTCACCGCCGACCCTACACAAGTACGCAAAAGTGCAGGCAAGTCTAGGGTTATTTCACGTCGTCTCATGTCATGACTTAAACGAGAGGCCACGAAGAACCCTGGACTTACCAGTCAAGAGCTTTTCAGTAGTATTGGAGATCCTACTGTGTCTAAAAGTACTCAGTGTCGGTATCTGAAGGAAATTTAACAACAGTCAAACCTGTATCGAAAGCCTCCGTTGACGAGAAATCACATTCAAAATCGATTGAAATGAGCTGAGGGCAATATGAAGATTGACTTCTCTAAAGTTTTGTTCACAGACGAAACTCGAGCAACACTTGATGGGCCAGATAGATGGTGGAAAGGCTGGGTAATGAACGGACAGAATCGCCATCAGCATTTGAGACGCCAACAAGGCGGTGGAGGCATAATGATCTGGGGTGGTATTATTGGAAAAACATTAATGTGCCCATGGAGAGTACCAGATGGAGAGTACCAGATGGCGTCAAAATGACTACTGATGCATACATAGCATTTATGAAGGAGCATCTTGAACAGTGGATGAAAAGGCAAAGAGTTGCCTTCAGAAGGGCCATTGTTTTTTCTGGAAGATAATGCTCCCTCACATGCTTCAAAAAGACTACTGAATATTTGAAACAGTTAGGCTTTGATAGACCTCGAAAAATGGAGTGGCCAGCAAATTCTCCGGATTTGAACCCAATCGAAAAACTTTGGAGCATCATGAAGCGACAATTCAGGAGCAACGCTGAGTTGTGGGAAGCAATTCTTGACATATCTCGCGACATTACAGTAGATGACATCCTACAATTAACAAATTCTATGGATCGTCGACTTCTTCAAGTAATTTCAAAACTGGGAAAGCACATTCCCTATTAATTTGTTTAAAACTGTGCCTTTGTTTGTATCTGTTATTATTTGTTTGATTATCTTATTTATTAGAAATTTTGATCATAAACATTCACGTTTTCCATTAATAAACGTTTTGTTTGCTCAATTCTGGGAAATTTTATTAAACCTTTCTATTAATTTGGCACGCTCAAATCACCGTGCTGATAACAAATATGGCGCCAGTTTGTTTACATTGCACAGATCAGTACGAAAATTCCAGTGACTGCGCAGGTCAGTGTTGCCAACAGTGTGTGAAAAGTTTGTGTGAATTGATTGGACGGTTTTTGAAATATTAGAAAAAAGTTATCTCGATAAGAATTTGGCACGCAGTGTATGTACTATATCCCTTCAGGCAGAAGGCAATCACCTCTCTCCACAACGTCCTATATTTTACTTCACTATGGAATTTATACCTTATAACGCTTTTTCATCTCTCTTCGTGATATTTTGGTACAGTATTTCTACCACATATGCACTGGGGCTGCATAGTCCTGACATTGAAGCCTTGAGAAATTCAAAATCGGTTACGCAGACTTGAAGGGAAGGACTTATTCCCTAATCTGAAGCTTCTTTTTAATGGTTCAGAAATTGATTTTTTCTTTGAAGACTTTTTAATAAAGAGAATTGTGATGAAAGACGACTAACAAAAGTTAAAACAATCATTTCCAGTCAATATAATTTCTGTTTCAAATACACCAGACTATTTTGCTTACTGAGAATAGTAAATTCAGTCCTTTAGATTTCAATTAAAACTAAAATAAAAGCTTGAAGAAATCCTTTTTTTTTATTTTAAAAAATTCATTTTAAATCTAAGGTATCGTGGATTGCTGGAACTCCCTAGACAATACTATTTTATTTACAATTTACACACACAGACACATATAGAACGTTTTGATTTGTAGCAAAAGGGATTTAAATAGATTATCTCTGCGATTGTACGGCACTGCAGTGTTATTATATAGAAGGTGCTCCTTCAAAAGATTTTACCACATTTCTGGAGATAAAAAATTAATAACATTTAAAAAAGAATTGTCTCTGTCGGATTACGTTCCTTGTGGGGACTTAGTTAAAAAGTATTGGGTCAACTAATTTCGCTTCCTTTCTGAAGGTAAGATATTAAATGTTTCATTAGTTCTATTAATTATTGGAAACTAAAACAATTGTTTGAAATCACGAAAATTTTTAAAGTGATATTAAACTACGTTATAAAGAAAAGAATTTTGGATTTTTATGTGATGTCAATCCTCTCATGTGACAGTTAATGCTGGACAATCTCCCCACGGATACGAAGAAAACGGGAAGAAACTGAAATGGAATAAATTGTTTTCCAACCCCTTTCTCATTGACGAAATGTTGCGAGCTTCTCGTTATTCTGTCGCTGTTTCCAGGGAAAATGCTTAGACAATTACATTTCTAACCTTCGTCAAGAAATAAGAATTAAGTTCCAGTCGAAAACCTACTTCCCAAGAACTGTTGCTTTTTGGAACAGAATTCTAGTCGGATGCTTTTCCTGCTACTACAATCTTAACCTCGTCATGTAGAACTTTAATCTTTATTCTTCTCACACCACGGTATAAACTGCACCGCTTACTCTTGGAAAAGGAAAAGAAAAGAAAAAAAATAAGTTCAACCAGCCACCGATATAATGTTGAGTGTAAGACTTAGAGGATATATCGTAATTTTTTAATCGTTATAATGCTAGCCGTTTTGATGTCAAACACATTTTATATAATCAACACAATCAATTTAAAATAATTTAAAGAATTACTCGTAATAGTATTTACAAAATTTAAGATTTATTTTGAAAGCAGAAATGACATTTTTGAAGTCTTTGGTAACTTTCCTGCCAATGCTAAGATCAATATTGCTATAAAAATAATGTCATGTTAAATATTCTTTGGATAGCCTCAGTGAAAATAAGAGAGACCAACGACTAGTTTGTAAATCAGTTTAACCATCAAGTAAATTGATTTAAACTTTTGATGAAAATGTAAATTAGTTCATTTGACATTTCCGTTGGATGATTTTACAGATGTATAATATAGTTTAATTGATAGTATAATAGTATAATTATATAGTTTAATAGATTTGTCTGGAATATTTTCAGATATCTTGAATTTTGGGAGAAAACGATAAAAAGAGACTATTATAAATTGTTTTTCACTTGAGTTTAATATATTTACAAACATTATGGATACAAAACTTGATTTGTTTCGCTTTTACTTCCTGTTACGGAAAAAATATATTATTATTATTATTATTATTTTTATTATTATTATTATTATTATTATTATTTAAAATAGAGAAAATATTCGAATTCGAAATATTCGTAGATAAATAATTAAAAAAAAAATAAATGTTTGTTAATTTTTAAAAAAAAACTTTCAGATTGAAAAAATAC